TAGGTAGGTAGGTATGCATTTTGCACGGATGGATGGATGGATGGATGGATGGATGGATGGATGGATGGATGGATGGATGGATGGACGGATGGATGGATGGATGGATGGACGGATGGATGGATGGATGGATGGCTACTCCCTGAGCCCTAAACACGGCATGACGTTGAGGTGTTGGGTACTGCCCCCCCTGCAGTATCAGTCTAAGCCAGGGCTGCTAATATCGAGTATCACGGCATTCATATCCATATTCTAAAACAATAACTACGAAATACGATTCAACTTTTGATTGAGTGGGGTGACTTGTCCGGAAAGCAACCATCCCCCGGAAGAACATCTCCGGAAATCTACTTGGAAACCCTAAACCCCTGAACACTGAACCTTAAACCCCTAAACCCTAAACTCTAAACCCTGAAACCTAAACCCTAAACCCTAAACTCCCTAAGGCGATCTTGGGTGGTTGAGGGTTGAAGGCCAAGTTCACGCCCATGCTCTGAGAAAGTCCCCGAGGCCGCCACGGGGTCGTGGGCAATGAGACAGCCCACTAATGCAGGGGCTTTAGGGTTTAGGGTTTTGGGTTTGAGGTTTAGGGTTTAGGCTTTTGGGGCTCCCGCAGAGTATAGCCCCTAGGGAATACTGTTTCTACTTATTTAGGCCCCGAATCTCATGTATACAACTTTGCAAACGGGCCTAGCTGTGTGGTATCCCGAACATAGCAGGCCCTAATTCATAGAAGAAGGACACGGTGCCATATTTTTGGGACTAGAAGGGGATAATATAGTGGCCTTAAGAATTAGAATAGGGTTTGGGGGCCCATAATCCTAAACCTTACACCCTAAATCCTAGACCCGAAGGACAAGGTCCAAGATCCCGAAGCCTTACTTGAGCAAGTTGAGCCAAGAGCTCCGAGGGCCAGCAACACTACAAAGGTTGTGTAAGGGTTCTTGGGTTTAGGGTTTAGGGTTTGAGGCTTGGGGTTTAGGGTTTGGGAGGGTTCTTGGGTTTAGGGTTTGGGGCTTAAGGTTTAGGTTTGGGAGGGTTTGGGGTTGAGGGTTTGGGGCTTAGGGGTTTGGGTTTGGGGCTTTGGGGCTTTGGGGCTTTGGTTTTAGGGTTTGTAGGGTTTGGGACCTATGAGGGAGCTATAGACATGGAGACCCGAATGTCTGCATTTTCCACAGAAAATGCCCAGGACCTTGGCGCAGTAAACCCGCTGAGCCCTCCTCGAACCTACTTGATCTACCCTAAACCCTAAACCCTAAACCGCCCGTGACGGAACCTGCAGAATCCTACTTCTTAAGTTTCAGCCTCCTGAACCTCCACCTTAACTTAAACCCTAAACCCTTAAACCCTTAAAGAGCCCTCAGCCTAAACCCTAAACCCTGAACCCCAGTAAACCCCTAAAAAGCACCAACCCGAAACCCCAAACCCTAAACACAAAGAATCATAAACACCCTAAATCCTAAAACCCTCTAAGTAAAGCCCGATGCCCTTGCAGCGGAAGGTGCCTGCCACCCGGAGATTCCCAACCTGCTCTCACAGCACAAAAAACTGTTTAGGGTTTAGGGGAATCAAAACTGGGTGTAGCTAGTTTGTTGTGTTTGAGTGGAGTTTGAGTTTTAACGGTTTTAGGTTTAGGCTTAGGATCTACCTAATCGCCTAGATTGCCTAGACGGGTTTGTATCAGTGTCAGCATCGGCCTTCTGACTATCACGAACATCCTGCATGACGGAAGGCAATATAGGCCTAAGGAAACCCTCTGGCTTGGAGGTGGGCTACTTACACAAGGGAACCCCTAGGGGGAATTAGACTACCCTTAAACCAAAAACACCAGAGAAATTCTGCAGAAACTTTCAAGCCCTCAAGCCTAAACCGCCCCTCTATTATGCTTTATGGGGAACCCTAAACCCTCAACCCTGCACTGGGGCACCCGGCACTGTTGCCACGAGGCGACCACCAGGACCGACTCGCTGCGGTGCGTGCACTGCACCTCTATCTAAGCCCAAGAAGTTAAAAGCTCTCAAACTGGCTATCGGCTATCTAAGTTAACGGCACTCATCCCAACAGGCAGTGTCTCGGGCGCCTTGGTTCCCACAGCCGCGCCACCAGCGCCTCCTGGGAACCGGGCATTTATGGGTAGGTCTCTAAAGTAGGGTCCCTTTTTTCAGGTCCCCATACAATCAGGCACCCTTAGGACCCGAACAGGGACCCTAACTTGAAAAACTACCCTTATCGAGGACCAGGCTCTAGGATACGTCGGCGAAAAGAACCGCTGCTGTGTGTTCTTCTATTGCTGCTTTTGCCATGATAAGTGCTGCTACTCCACTCTTACTGTCACTGCCATCGCTACCCATCGGCAACATCTGGGCATGTCAAAGGCAAGTCGAAAGTCCTGGCCACCGTAAACTCTAAACCCTGAAGCCAATACCCATAAACAACAATCCAACTCCCGAAGTAATTCAACACGCCCTACACACCGAATCGTAAGAGCCGGGCCACGCCCCTGAACAAAACACCGCTCTAAGGAAGCCCATCCGTCGTTTCAAGTTAGGGGCTTCTGCCTTCCTGCGATACTGGAACCCACCGACCTACTTGTGGGGGATTCAAAGGTCGTACGGCAGGTCTGTTGGGTTCCAGTATGCCGCATGGCTTCGGTCCCAACTAAACAGTGCTTAGTTCCATGGCGTGGAGTACGCTGGTAATTGCAGGGACTGGTAATTTTTGTGATGATCATGTTGCGTGGGGTGAGTCGGATGTTCCAGGGCATCATCACGGCCAAGTTGTTCCTAAATGAAACTGGGGGCAGCGCGCCGGTGCTTGATGGCTGGATGAGGAAGGGTTGCTGGAGCCTCCACAGAAAGCGGTGCTCTAGTTGGGGTGTCCTTGTTTCCTTCAGTTGAGCCGCTGCGGCCCTTATATTGGAAAAAATTCTGCGACCGATGTTCTGGTCCAGGCGAGGGGGTAGGAGGCGGGTGATGGTGTTGCAGTGCAGCTACGGGTATTCAATGTCCTCCAGACCTGATTACGGGCCAAATTCGGGCTTGTTGCAGTCAGGTTACATGGTTTTAGGGTATGGCCTTCAGGGGCTGTTTGAAGACAGGTCACGGCTACTGTCGCTAGTATGCACTCAAAACGTGAGCCCGACAAGTAGCAGCAGCACCAGCAGCAACACAAACCGCAACCACAACAGTAGCATCAGCAGCAGCAACAGCAATAATGATTAAAACAATAGAAGGACGAAAAATACAATGAGACAAGCTCGCAGTATCCTAAGCTCCATGCTAAATATGGGACTGACACGACTGATAGGACAGCAGAAGTAATGGCTTCGTGTTCTAGCATACTTGTTGCAAAGACCAGGATCATATCAGAGGCTTGGATGGAGCAATCGCCAATGAGAGACAGATGTGAATAGCACTAGAGGCAGGGTGAGAGCGCAGTACGAATGTCGGCTCAGCATGCACATTGCATTGCCAGGAGATCTTGCTAGACACGAAAACCCTTAATCCGAAACAGCATACTACCGTACCGATACCTTCTAAACTGTGAACCTTAGGTAAGTGCCCTGCGCAGATCCTTACCACACGGGACTGTGCTGACCCAACACAGTAACAGTAACCTCAACCTGGTAAGGCAACCTCAAGCGCACAACCTTCCCAACTTTGCAGAAGCAACGCTGCAGCATATCGAAATTGCAAGCCCCACACCACGAAACTCGTGGAGGGCTCAGGGTGAAAGAGTTCAGAGTTTCGGGGTTCAGTGTGTTAGGGTTTAGGGTCTAGGGGTTTAGGGTTTCGGGTTTGCCAGGATTAGGGGATCGTGGCAGGCCTCACCATAACCTCAATACCCGAAAGCAGAGTGAGCAGACCTTATGCAGCTTGAGAAACAGTATAAACCCTCAACCCAAAACCCTGAACATGACACAGGCGCCCTGGTTCTTGATCAAAGCAGAGTGTTGTGCTACTTTATGTTGTACATACATTATGAAGCCGTGAGGAATACTAGTTTTTTCTCCTTTTCAGACTTTGATAAACCCTAGGCCATAAACCTCAAGCTTCTATATCAACTGAAAGTTTCCCCCAAAGCACAAGCCCTTGACCCTAAAATGCAGCAAAAGCCATTAGAAAGGCTTACCGCAATGCGGACCCTTTAACAGAAAGCCTACCACCCCCAAAGCAACGAGAAACTAAACCCCTCACAAATCTCTGCCACGCCAAACGCTTCAAACCTAAACCAACCACCTAAACCCTAAACCCTGAACCCTAAACCCTAAACCAAAATTCAATAATTATCCCGAAATCCCAACACCTTGACATCCCTAAGCCTCTCATAAGGCCCCCCCTCTTCAAAATCCCGCGACAGCCCAGGCCTAAAAACCAGGCCGTCAGCACCTCCCCAGGCTGCGCGTCGGCCTGCCGCTGCTTTGTGGCTATTATTGGTCCAAAGTGCCTAGTAATACTGGTTCCTTCGTTTACGGTGATTTATAGGTGTGTATAGGGTTTTATGGTAATAATGTGGTTTTGATGTTTCTACTTCATGGTATCTTATTCGGCTTTTTGTATGATTGTATGGCCTTAAATCGGACTACATGGGGCTCTATACATGGGTTTAGGAGGTTCGGGAGTAAGGGACGTAAGTTCAAGAGCTTTTTGGGCAAGAGGGCATAAGTCTACATATAGGCTAGAGGTGTATGAGAACCACAACGAAAGACTGAAACTACATGCTTGTGCTTACCTTACAATCCCTAAGGCTCCAAATAGCCCGAAGTAGGTAATATAGGGGACTTGATAACTAGAATAGGGTTTGCGGGTATATTATAGTTTAATTATAATAAAGGACCCCCCCCCCCATAAAAAAAAATCTAATTATTAAGGCGCCTGCATTACGATTACTTACAGACTTTAGATTAGACCCTAAACCCCCGAAGTAGGTACTAGCTGTACACTTGGAGCCCCCGAGCTGCCCTTGACCCTTAAACCTTTGACTCTAGAATGACCCGAAGCGGTAAACCCACGGTTTAGGGGTTTAGGGTTTAAACCCTGTAACCGAAGGGGCCTGAATAAAGCTAGCAGTAGTACTCCATAGGGTTCCCAACAAAATGTATAGTCTCAGTGCACCAAACCTTTGACATATATTCTGCAAGCCCCTATACCAAACAAAGCTCTTTTCCTTTCCTGGGACTGATTAAGCAGCACCTTAACCAAAACACCCTCTTAAACCCTCTTAGTTGCATAAAGACCCATACTATAAAGCCCTTAGAAAGACCTGTGCCAAGGACCTGGCGCAATGAGACATCTTCAATCGCCAGGTGCCACTAGAGATCGCCTCTGAGCATTTTCGGTGGCGGTTTCCGGGTTTGTTTGGAAGGGGCCCGAAGATGGATTGGAAAAGGCAGGCGGTTGCATGTGGTCTTGCGTGCATTCAACAGGTTTTGGTCGTGCTTTCACGATCTTACAAACTGCGATAGGGCTCTGACAGGTGTTAATAAGAATGTGTTTGCGTGCATAGGGAGCTTCAGGGGCATACTATAATGTGTTTGTACATGAACCATAAGGGGAGAATCTTACTGCGTATTCAAGCCCTGATACTAGATGGCCCATGAAGAAAAAGACTGCTCATTCTGAGACCTTCATCTAAGCTCTTAAACAACTAGCTTTAAAGCAGTAATTGAATCTGTCAGTAAACCCTGCGCCCTAAACCACCCGAGATCACCCGAACCAACCCTAAACTATAGATACTAAAGCCCCCGAACCCCCACACACTAAAACCCCCGAAACACAAAACCCTCCAGACCCAAAACGCACCCCACCATCCCCGACCCCCTAAACCCTAAACCCTAAACCCCTAAACCGTGGCTCTAGCGCGCCTCCACGGCACCGTCCTGCAACGTCTCCAAGCAGAGCCTCCCCGAGGCCCCCAGCGCTGCCACAGAGGCGGCCCGATCCTGCCGAAGAAAAAAAAAAGGGTTACCGGGGCCCCAAATAACCCACTTTTGGGGGGGGGGGGGTCCTTATTATGGCGTCTTTATTGTTTTAGAAGTCCTTGAGAATATTCAGTTATTTTAGGGTTAAGGTACTTCTATACTGCACACCTAAATAAGAGGTGTAGCGCCGTGGGACTGTAGGGGGGCTTCAGGGGCTGAGTCCCTAAAGAGGGTTTAGGGTTTGGGGTTTAGGGTTGAAGGTTTAGGGTTTAGGGTTGAAGGTTTAGCGTTTAGGGTTTAAGGGTTGAGGGTTTAGGTGTAGGGCTTCCGGTAATTATTTAGGCACCTATGAGGGTCTGAAGCTCCTTAATTAGACTCTACGAAGGGTTCCTTGAAGGTAAGCGTGTGTCTTGCAAATCCTATTTCTCTAAGTCTGGCTCCCAGGCCCACGTAAAGGTGTGTAACAAGCCCGCGGGCCTACAACTGCAAAACGAAAATGTCAACATTAAACTTAACATCGCCACATCCTCAGGGAGAAGAGCCCTAACCCAAATCTGTAAACCTATCCCAACTAAGAGGCGAGTTCAGAAATGCGGTGTTTGTAGGGTTTATACTGTGAGTGTTACTCAGCCTTCCGCTCTAGGGTTTGCATGAGGCCTACTAGGGGATGAACCAGGTTTCATAAATATTATGAACTAAGTGTCCGATCCTATGTTTGCAGTGCTCGGCCAGCAAGAAGGCAAACATGGCGATGGGGCGCGCCCAGCAAGGTGGGGATTGAAATTGAAATGTAATAAGAGGCCGGTGCTTGTGTTTTATTTTGGGGCGCCTAGTTCAGGGCGTGGGGCTTTCTAGGACTCAAGTTGACTCCCTAAAGCCTGTATTCCCTAAAAACCCTTGATCGTGGGACTCTACACACAATGGGCCACTGCCAGCCCGAAGAAGTGGCAGTTCTGGAAGATCACGCTGTAGCCATCTGCTGGGAACCCCTGACATGGCCTTACCTATCGTCTCCATTGTAGTTCCTTTTTTGGTTAAACCAATTCTATAATTAGGATCCTACAAGCGAATGCCCAAAAGGAGCTACAATGGAGACTATAGGTAAGTAAGTAAATGCACGGAGCACTCGCGAGGTCGTCTTCCATGTCGGTCCAGAACCCCGATGGCAGCCTGCATGTGCGCATTGATGGGCATCCTGGTGCAAATAAGCTCGATCGTGTGCGAAGTGGATCGAGTCGCCAAGCCTCTGGCTCCGAGTTCTTTGGAGAATCTCAGCCTCCAAGTCCTCAAATCTACCCCGAGATAACTCATCGACGGTTTATCGTTTATATGTAGGCAGGTATGTATATATATATATAATATAGAGAGAGACATGTCGGGGTTACATCTTACTTACATCTTGCATGTTTTGTACATAGATGCATATGTGTTGTATCTTGAATACCAAGCAGCAGATGCATGATAGGTTGCCTAGTGTAGCTTGCATTTGTGTCTCATACATCTGGACCCTACCCACCCTGCAATTGAAACAAAGGGTCAAAACCAAAGCATTTTCCCAAGCCTGGCGTGCCCGGAGACTCAATCCCTTTAGGAATTCATCTGAGGCCCACTCACTCAGAGCAACTAAAAGGCTCAAACCCCAGAGCCCCGAACCCCTGATCCGCAGGATGCCTGACTTACCCCTAACCCTAAACCCTAAACCCTAAGCCTTAACCCCTAAGCCTTTAATTTAATTACCCCTAAACCCTAAACCCTAAACCCTAAACGGCCCTAAACCTTACCCCCATATAAACCCTAAACCCGTGGGACCCGGGAGCAGGCTGACATCAAGGGGCCTTGTGGATTACCATCAGGTCTCAGGGCACCGTCACAATTTATGAGCACATTCTTGAGGAACCCTGAAGAGTGATGCTGGTAACTACTCAGCCCCCGCGGCCCCCCGCCCCCCCCCCTTCTTCCAAAAAAAGGCCGTTAGCCTAAACCCAAACCCTGCACTCCCCTAAACCCTGAACCCTAAAGCCGGGGCCTTTGACCAGGCGCGCGCCAGTTCATGCAATAGCCAAGGCCGGGACGCTCCCGAGCCTTTTGACTGTATAAGGGCTTTCAGGATTTAGGTTTGCGGGCTGGGGCTTTAGGGCTGTTGTGGGCTTGGTGTAGGCATTTAGGCTATAGTGTTTAGGGTTTGGGGGCTTTTATCAGAGGCCCGAAACATCACCTAGCCACTAGGATCAGAGCTTCGGCGGATTGTACTAGGGGTTTAGGATTTTTTTTAGGATGGTTTAGGATTTATTGTGCTGAAGGTCATGCTAGGTCCTAGGCTCTCAGTGTTTGGGGCTTGGGATTTGTGGCTGAGAGGGTTTAAGCCTTCTGTTTTGGGCTGACGGCATAGTACCCCGAGAAGTTAGCGGTTTCCTACTCTACGAATTACTCAGTAACTCTACCTGCAAAGTCCCTCTCTGGCTGCCCAATCGAGGTAAATTGCTCCCTGCATCTTCGCGACCGGTCACATTGCTTGGTGAGGGTGTCTTTTGCTAGCTGGCCTGGCGTCCTTGGGTGGGGGCGGAAGTCCCTCACATGATCCTTTCAGAACCTTGCCCAACCAACATTCGGGAAGACCGTCCCATGAACCCCAAACCCCCAAACCCAAACCCAAAGCCCTCCTTAGCCCTCTACCCTAGCCCAGTCCCCCTAAAGCCCGCTACAGCTTTTCGGGGTACATGTCGTTCCCTAAAACCCCAAACCCTATAAGGAAACATCTCCCGGCTGCCTTCTGATGCCGGCCACGCCATCTGCGCCAGAGCCAAAATCTCAGTTGCGCGCCTTCAGGTTTTTAGGGGGAGGGGGAGGGAGGGGGGGGGGGTAGCATATGCAATTATATCAATATAATACTTATATATGCAGACGATATCAAGGCTCCGCTTAGGGTCTCGGATTAGAGGTTTAAGGGTTTAGGTTTAGGGTTTCATTAAGGGTTTAGGGGTTAAGGGGCTTAGGGGTCTAGGGGAGCAGCACATAGCTCCGGATCTTCACGAATCAAAGCCTTGTCTTTTGGTTTGTGCCCCCCCCTTAACGCCGTGCCCCAAGTGCATCCCCATGGGAGCCTGCTGGGCAGTCGTCGCGAAACTTATCCGTGAATCGCCCCTCGAGCTTCCTTCCCAAACCGCTCAGCTGAGCGAGGAGGTCTGCAGGAATGGCGCTCTGCAAGATACTCACGTGAACTTTTGGGCCATCCATGATTGGACCTTGTTCGACACCTTCCGGACAGTGACCACTTCTTTCCTATTTACTGTGCCTGGTGGCCACTTTCACTTCGAAGCTCTTCGTCATGTTCTACACCACGCACCCCACGTCAGAAGCTGGTTTTCCTGCGGCTTGCAGAACCCGAAACCATGAACCATCCTGAACCCAAAACCCTGAAAGCCCTACATGCTAAACGCTACGCCCTAAACCCTCAGCGGAGGTGACTCTCTGAACTCTCGCGCTACAGCTGGGATGGAGGAATCTATAGCTTCTTATTTTCGCGTTTAGGGCTTAGCTAGACCGGGTTTGAGGAATTGATGGGGATTTAGGCTGTGTATACTGGTTTTCCCTGGTGCTTCCGGGTTGTTGCGGTGGGGGGTTTAGGGCTCGCCGGTTTCGTGCGAGTCAGTGTAAGCAAGATCCTACTAAGAGGATCAGGCGACTTAGCAAGGCCTCCGTAGCTTTATCATGCTCTTTCCCAGAAGAGAGTACATACTGACAAAGCCAACTTGCCAAGCCCTTGCACCTCGAAGCCCCAAATCAGGGTTGAGGGTGCAGCGCTTTGGGTGTAGCACTAGAGGAGGAGAACTTTATGAAGTGTTCATCCCCTATGTTTATATATCTGTTCTCGATTGAAGCCGGTTCTTTTCAGGTTGGGATCCTAGCTTTGGGTCAGTTTTCAGTTGCTTTAGAGCTTGCAGGGGTACATTCTGCTGCACACCCAAACTAGCAATGTTTGCACGAGTACCTGATCCATCCTAGTCCTAGACCTCACGATGCACACTTCCTGTAGGGTACATGCTTTTGGATGTCTGGGGCTTAGGTTTTAGGGTTTGGGCCTATAGGGCTATCGGTAGTTATTCAGTATCGAAGACTGTATTCTTGGGCCTCTCACGCGTCTCTTGAAGCCACTGGTCCACCTGCACGGCCGCAGCTTGATGCACCTCTCTGCTAATGTATGAACCTGCCCAAAACACTAGGTGCAGCTTATGCAAGTCCCTTTAGTAAGAGCACAGGGTTTGATAGTCTTATTCGGGCAGGAAATTCTCAACCCTGAACCCTACACCGTCATACATGATGTCCTACGACCTACTGAGACCCAGCCCATTCCCACTCACTGTCCGATGTAATCCTTAACCCTAAACCCTAAACCCCCAAAAAAGCGATGTAATCGCTTCATGAAACACGACGTGTGTTGGCACGACAGGCCTGGGCTTAGCTTCGGGGGTTAAGAGCTCGGGCTAGGGGGTAGGGCTTCGGATGTAGCAGATGTGAGCAGCTCTTACTTTTCGTGGCATCTGAGCATGTCAGTGCCCTAAACTGTAGGCCCTATAGGCCCTTTAAATCCCCTACAAGCCCCTAAAAGCCCCAAACCCCAAGACAAGAAGAAGTGAGGCAACGACGGCTGAGGGTGACAATCACTTTGCTACGTATCTTTCTTTTTAGGGTTTAGGTGGTTGGGGGTTTCATAGAGCTTTTACCATAGGTTCTGCAAGGGGTTTTATCTATCGTCTCGCAGATCCGGCTACAACCCTACCCCTACAACTTACTACACCCTGAACCCCTAAACCCCAAACCCTCAACCCTAAACCCTTAACCCTTAACCCCACACCCTGAACCCTGAAGTTCATGAGTTCACCTCACCTCGGCAAGAAGCCGCGCCAAGCGAACCTCGGAGCCCGAACCCTACAGTTTTCGAGTTTAGGGCTTCGGGTTTAAAGACCGTAAACCGAACATCCTACTTCCCCCCTATACCCTATACCCTAAAGAATGAAAAAGCCTCGACCCCAAAACCGTAAACCTTGAAACCCCAAACCCTAATTAAACCCTAAACCCTAAACCTTGAAACCCTGAACCCTGATTAAAACCTAAACCCAAACCCTTGAAACCCTAAACCCTAAACCTTGAAACCATAAACCCTAAACCCCTACACCCTAAACCTTGAAACCCTAAACCCTAATTAAACCCTAAACGTTGAAACCTTCAGCCCTAGGACTTCAGGCATTTCGGGGTTCGGGGGCTGCGGGCCATTGGGCTTTGGGCTCCATTCATACCTCAAGAACCCAAAACCTACTTTTGTTGTAGGGTCCCTATAAATCCCAAATTAGGGTTTATAATAAGAACCTACAAAAAAGTGGGTTTTGGGTTCTTAAGGTATAGGTCTGACAGTTAGAATTCTGGGCCGGAGGGCATCGGTTTGAGGGTTCAGGGGTTTACGGGTTTAGGGGCTTAGGGGTTTTAGGGTTTATAGGGGTTTAGGGGTTTCGGGGTTTAGGGTTTAGGGTTTAGGGGCTTAGGGGGTTTAGGGTTAGTCTAGGGTTTAGGGACTAGGGGTCCAGTGGGCCTCGTGCTTGGGGTGCGCCGGGTTTAGACCATAGGATCCTAGAGGTTTCGGGGCATTGTGGCTTCAGGGTTTGGGGCTTCAGGCTTTAGGGTTTAAGGCTTCAGGGCTTAGGGCGGCTTTAGGGCTTTAGGGTTTAGGGCTTTGGAGTTTCGGGTTTGGGGTTTGGGGTTTCAAGCTTCTGACTTTGGATGACGGGAATTTCCCTAAACCCCATAAGCCCCAACGCATCATGCAAAACGACCCATGCTCTCCAACCCCCCCCCCCCAACTTGGGGAGGGCCCAACGATGCCTTGGTGTAGGTATTTTTACAAGTCCTCCAGAATTGAGTTGTCAACTGGGACCCTCAGCTAGGAGAAGATCGGGTCCTTTCTTGGAATAAGCGTTCAAGGGTATGTTCTACTGTATAAAGACGTATAAATAAAGCAGCAACTATACATATGTATATGTACGTATATCCATGGGCCTAAAAAGGGGTAATTACTGTCATTACTAATGCCTGTCATCTCGACCCTATATTGTTCCTTGACCTCGGGTTTAGGGTAAGTTATAGCCAAGTTACCATCTTCGTTCGTAATAAGCACTTCATGAATACAGGGTGGGGGTTGCGTTCTTATCGGAGTCCTTTAGTTGTCAGGGTGATTTACTACCTTAAGAAGCCAAAACCTACCTTTTTGTAGGGTCCCTATAAATCCCATATTAGGGTTTATAATAAGAACCTACAAAAAAGTGGGTTTTGGGTTCTTAAGGTATGTAACGGAGGCAGAAAAGGACCCGATGTTGAGAACCCTTCCCTCTCGCCCGAATCCACGGCAACAGTCCGTCCCTAACTACACCCCGACTTTCAGCACGACCGCAAAGTGTCATGTCATACCAAGCATTCAAGTTAAGATAGATGCTAGAATAAATTTGATCTGTGAATTAAAAAGGAAAAGGAACTACGCTCCTAACATCGCTGCCTTTGGACCACCCAAGGCACGGTGAGGCCACAGCCACTTGAGGCCAGGCAAGCAGGCTCCCCGTTGGGCTGCTTCCAGCGCCTGGCCCATGGGGACTCCAGGGATTAGGGTTTAGGGTTTGGACGTTTAGGGTTTAGGGATTAGGGGTTTAGAGGTTTAGGGTTTAGGGGTTTAGGGTTTAGGGGTTTAGGGAGTAGGGTTTAGGGGTTTAGGGAGTAGAGTTTAGGGGTTTAGGGAGGGTGTAGGGGTTTGGGGCTTAGGGGTTTAGGGTTTTTCAGGACTTCCGGATGTTGGCGTTTTAGGGCCGGGTTTAAGGTTTTCTAGTCTAGGGATTACCATAAAAAACGCTGCAACAAAAACACCATTCTGAAGCTTTTTAGGGTCGGGTTTAGGGTTCATTCTGAAGCGGTAAGCCCCTCTAAAATCCTACCGGGTTTAGGCCCCTCCTCAAACCCTAAACCCTAAACCCTAAACCCTAAACACTAAACCCTAAACCCTAAACCCTAAACCGATAGTCCTTTGGCTTCGGAGCAAATGGCCTCGGGGGGTTAGGGCTTCAGGATTTGGGAGTTTCCGAAAATAAGGGGTACCTTATTTTGGGGTCCTTATAATAAGGATCCTATTATTTAGGGTACTATATTAGGGTCTCCTATTTTCGGAAACCCCCATATAGTGCTAAAATCGGGGGTTTAGGGACTTCGGGCTTAGGGATTCAAGGTTCAGGGTTAACTTACCGGGTTGACCATACTTCCAGCAAGCTTTGTTCTTGAACCCGCATTAAATGCCAAAACCCCCGAAACCTTACCCAACCACCCTGAACTTATACCCTACACCCTTCAATCAAAGACTTCCTAATCCAAACATAGCGGCTTCTGTAAAAAGAGTTGTTTACGGGTTTTTTGCTAGAGCATTATTTCGGGAACCCATGAGCAATAGTAGTCTCCATGAACCCCTAAATAGAACCCTCACAAAACCGTATTAAATGCTAATTATGATTAAGACCCTCATAGAACCTTTAGAATCTAGAACCCTTTCATATCCCTGAAAAATCCAGCTGCACCAATGTTATTGCCTGGGTGACAAATCGAAGCTGCATGGCGCTTTCAACTGATCCGCGCCTGCTGTCGGCGAGAGCAAAGACCGACCAGATGCTGCCGTAGCTGCCTGAACGATGTGTTATTCAGGGCTTGGGGCGAATACCGCTTGGGGTTTGGGAGAAGAAGGTAATCCGGCCATCTGCACCACTATTGATATTATTGCCACCATCATATCATCTTCGTCGTGGTTGCCGTCATGACAACCTTCATCGTCATCAGTACTATGGTCATCGCCAACATCCTCGTCAGCAACATAATCATAGCACACATCGAGATAGCCATGGTGACAATGGCCACTACCATCATCGCCGCATCACAACCATCACCATTGTCATCATCACCGTCATCATCATCATCACCACCAGCATCATGCTAAAAGTCGTCGTCGTAATCATGACGATGTTGATATCGCTCCTCGTAATCGGCATCGTCACCGTCATCATCATCACCATCCTCATCAACAATGCCATATTCATCATTTCATCAGCGTTACCACCGCCATCACCATCCTCAAAAACCTCAGCAGCACCACCACCAGCATGCCATCACTCTCAGCATCAACACTACCTTCATGATCGTAACCTAAGTCGCAAACAACATAGAACGATATGGAGCAAATGCAGCAAAGCCGCTTGAACGGCTCCTTTCTCATGCACATTCTTACCCCAGCTCCTGTTGTGTTCACGCGGCCGCATAGGTAGTGTGAGGATGAAAGGTATCAAGGCGCTGTAAGCCTGCAGTCCGTCTCCAGGCTGTAATGTGCAGCATAATGTGCAAATTGTATATGCATAGATCGTGTTCTCAAGTACCCTGGCACCTTATACATGCATTGGAGGACGATGCCACAACGAACAAAGTACAACCAATCAGAACAGGACCAAACATTGGAGAGAGAGAGAGAGGGAGAGACACACACACACAGAGTGTGGGCAGCAGAACATGACATCAGCCGACCCTTCCGCACTGAATCAGGCAAACTGACACTCCTCCTGCCCAAACCCTGCAAGCCAGTGCCGCCCTAATCCGCATCTCACACTGACAAATTAGTTAACTACAAACTGAGAGCACGCGATCTCAACACATCCAATACAACACGCTTATAAACCTTGCCCACTTCTCCGCTCCAAACCCATTAGTCCTACCGAGTAGTCGGAAGCATTCTCCGGGAGGCCGCACCGAATACGCGGTGGTCCGCGCTGAAGGGTTCGGAGTTGTGCCAGGGATCTGACAACGGTGGGAGAGGCCCGGGTCTAGTGAAGAAGCCGGCCCCGGTTCCCACCAGCACCACTTCTACCACCACCATCATCACCATCAACCATCACTATAGAGGTCTACCACTGAGATGTCTACCTGACAACCAATATTTCTCTCTCAAACCCAAAACTCTGCAATAGGCCTGGCACCCAAGACCGAGCAAGCAAAAACCAAAAAACCCTGCAACCTAAACCCTGCGAACCTTTACAGAACCCATATCAAAGCTCCGTAGTTCGCATACAAGGGCATAGAAATCTTACACAGCCCCCTAAACCAAATCCCCGAACCCTAAAGTACTAAATGTACATATTGACTGATTGATTGATTGATTGATTGACGGATGGATGGATGGATGGATTGATGATTGATTGATTGACTGATTGTCTGGTTGATGGGTTTGTATTTATGCAAATAGTTTGTGTATTGTTACAGCCGTAATATAATACCAATATTCACAGAGATTAGAGACATATGTGTTTAGATTATGTAGATATATAGATATATACTTACATATTCATACTCGATCATTCAGGGTAAGTAAGCTTTAGTTTAAAGGCAAAAGTCCACCCCCTGCTACAGCTCGTGCAATACCCTTATACCCTAGGGCTCCAAGCATACACATAGTACCTACTTTAAGCTCTAAAGTCAATACACTAGTACCTACTGTAGCCTAGTTGGAGCCCCAGGGATACAGTAACCCTCATAGAACTCTTGTAGGGTGTGCTTCAAGAGTACATGGGTCCGTGCGCAAGGTGCACTGAACCCAGTGGCAATAAACTTTCGAGTCACTCACACTCGGATTTGTTTGTGCGAGCGACCGCGGCTGAGAGGCAAGGACCTGCGGCCCAGATCGCGCATTCGGCTCGGCATTGGGTGGCATTGCGGGTGCTATGCGTTGAGCTTCTTCTTCCATGCCACCGTCGTCGTGACTATAAAGTCGTTATGGAACCCCCAGCCCTCCCGCCTTCCCCGGCCACCCAGCGGCTGAAAGGCAGCCGCCGAAGAGGCTCCGTGGCCCTTGAGAGCTCGTGAGTTCCTTTTAGGGGGCCCTCATATACCCTCTGTCTGAACTACCACTGCCAAGGGAACTTATAAGGGTGCTATAGGGGTACTTTTGGGGTTACGGCATAACGGTATTGCAAGGGTACACAAGAAGGGTACGTATAGGGGTGTTGTAAAGGCACAATCAGGCCTGCATACCGTTGCAGTTATAGACAAAGGTTTAGGGTTCAGTGTTTAGGTGATGACTATGCATATGAATGTGGTGGTGATGGTGATGATGATGACGATGACGAAAATGATGATGCTGACGATGGTGGCGATGATGATTATGGTGATGATGACGATTATGGTGATGATGATGATGATTATGGTGGTGATGATGATGATGACGATGACGATGACGACGATGATTATGGTGAGGGTGATGATCACGATGAAGAAGAATATGATGATGATGATGATGATGATGATGATGAACCCGAAATCCTACACGCTGAACCGCTAAACTCCGCTAAACCCTTAACTTTCAACCACTAAACCCTTGGCCCTAAACCCCAAAAAGGGACTAAGGAGAGCGCGCCGCAAGTGTGGTCTCGGAGAGAATATCCGGATCCAGCAACAGCTCCTGTGGAGAAGCTTGTACCGGACGGGCTTATAATATGCGCATATGTATATGTATGTATGTATATTTATGTACATACATATGCATGTATGAATATATATATGAATATATATATATATATATATATATTCATATATATATATATATATTCATATATATATGTATATATATATAT